TATATATATATATATATATATGTGTGTGTGTGTGTGTGTGTGTGTGTGTGTGTGTGTACACACACACACACACACATATATGTATGTGTGTGTGTATATATATATATATATGAATAATTTATTATTGAGTTCATTGCAAACCTTGGCTTGAAACCATTTTAGGCGAGAAAGTGTTGTATAGTAGTTATGTTATCCAAAAACCAGAGAATAAATATCTACAAAGGAAAATCATATGTCATATTACCATTAATTTATGAATACGTATGAGCAATGCAGATAGTTAGACAAATTACCATAAATTTCCATGAAATTTTAATAGTAAATGATCAACTATAATCATTGTCACAATTAAAATAAAAAATTATTGATATTCTTTCTTTGACCTGATACTCATAGTTATGAAATAAATCTTGAGTACAAAATTGGAATTGAGATGGTATTATCCTATAGGTAAAAAAATTATGTGTTAGACAAAAAAAACTATATGAAAATTATATCAACAACAATAGGGGACAAAAGTATACCAAAAACTTATAATACACCTTAATCAAGAGAGTTTATAATTAATTAGTCAAATCTTCTTTCTAAATAATAAGTTTGATGGTACCAACCAAGTAATCGGACAAAATGCATTTTTTTAACAATTGTAATAAATCAGATTATATCCAAGAATAAAGAGAATAAATGAAATTAAGAAGAGCTTATATTGAAGTTTACTAATAAAACAATTTACTATAAGTAAAAGCAATTTGATTGCTTAGGAGTTTAGACATTGTTTTAGATCTAATCGAGAAGTTTCAAAGCCCACAATATTCGTAAACAACGGGTGCAAAAATTCCACCTCATAAAACCATAATGTATTTGTGTAAAAGCCCATAATATTCTTGCTCAGAGTCAAGGGAGTTCCCCTACCCATGCCTCCCCGCTTCAACCTCCACCGTTAACTGCCCTCTGCCGCAGTCCGCCATCTCAGCCACCAGCGGCGAAGGACAACAATGTGGTGGTGATCGGCGGTGGCCCTGGGGGCTACGTGGCGGCGATAAAGGCGTCACAGCTGGGGCTCAAGACTATGTGCATCGAGGTTATGTTCAAGCAAGCGGATTTGGATCAGGACGGGAGAATTAGCGGATCTGAGACTGTTGCCTTCTTCCGAGGATTGAATTTGTCCCAACATATATTAGCGCATGTGTGATCCTCTCTTTCTTCAGTTAAAATTTGGATACTTGTGAAGAAATCAATCAATTTGATGTAATTTTGGTTTCTTTAGTGAAAATTTATCATTTTTAGCTTTTGGGTGATTATACTGCTTTTGGAAATAATTTATGAGTTGATTTGCCTTGAATTAACACTTGTATGCCTTTTGTGAATGGTAATATTGGTGGTTCTTAATTTTTCTCCCTATAAAACCATAATTTAAATATCTCAGAAGAGTTTGTAGTTGTGTAAAATCAAGAATAGTTTACAAATCATGTGAATTTAGAGAAAAATTATGCGCTTTAATTTAGAGAAAAATTGTTGGTGATGAGAATCCACTTGCATGAAATCTTAATGGTTTTGATTAGTTTTTGACAATTATAAATTTGTGAAGGAGGGAGTCCCCCCCCCGCCCCCCCCCAAATTAATTCTCTCCTCATGTGATCTAAAGTGGGTAAATGGCAACGTTTATGATTTGTAAATAAGAAATTACATTGCGAATTTGTTTTATTTGTTTTAGTTGAATAATTTACTTGATATCTATTATCGTTCCTCATTTTAATCTAAAACATTACCATGTTATATTTTATTGTTCTTGCATGTGGAGTAATTTTTGTTTGTATCTGATTAATACTTATGACTACACTTGAGGCCATATTGCCTTCTGATATATGTTTTTTTATTATTCTGGTATTTATTTTCCTCAAGTTCAATCTACATATTCTTTTTTGGTATTATTACCTCTGTCGTGTTCTACATATTGGTATGAATGTGTTGTATTTGAATTTTTTTATCAAGGGTAAAGCCATAGATTACATGGATAAAATATTTTGCCTTATAATAAGAGAGCCTTGAATGAGTATGAGTTGTGTTGTTGATATTAATAATAGGTTCTTTGAGGTTTTCATATTCATACCTGAGGAATAGACTCCTATCGGTATGGGCATTGGGTATCTAGCTATGGCAGTTGTGAACAAAAGCAAGGCACTCTAGTTCCATTTGAATGAAACACAGAGAAAATACGTCTACTGCTTGTTTAGAAGGTAATAATTGACCATGTCATGAGTTATGTAGGTGTTTTAAAAAAACTTTAATAAGTTATGTTTTAGATAATTTACTTTTGGAATGCATAGTTCTATACATGAAGGAAATCTAGGTGACTTCTCAGAGCAGAGAGCCACGTGGTTGGTGAAGGATTTGATGGGGGTTATAAAGTACTGCTATAAGCTGGGAGTTGTGCATAGGGATATAAAGCCGGAGAATATCTTGATGATGGCTGATGGGGCAATTAAGCTTGCTAATTTTGGATTGGCTGTGAGGCTTGCCAGTGGTAATGATGCTGAAACTCTTTGATTTTTTTTGACTGATAACCACACGAAGTATGTAGTATTTGCGGTAACATGTTGGTTGTTAGGTGAGATGGTAGATTTTCTCCATACCTTGCATTTTATGTTCTTACATATTCAGGTAGATGCTTTAGACCCCATGGTGATAACTATTAGTTGCAATAATATTAACTCATTCTAATCACTTGATAAGTGCAAATTTCGTATAATTTTGATATTGCGAGCTTTGAATTTCTTGATAAGCGCAATGTGTTAGTTTTTGAACTTATGCATGTTTTGGTCTATCATTATGTTTAGTATTCTATTCATAATTAATTGTTCATATTTGGTATTGGCAGTCTTAAACTTGGTGGGTTTTCAAAGCTCCTTAGCAGTGTTGCTTTCTAATTAATTCTATTGAATTATTTAAATAATTTAGCTACTTGGTGTGATTGTTTTGCAATATTAGCTGGCAATACAGGCTTGGATGTGTGAAAAGCCTAGCAACTGTAAGTAATTGAGATGATAGCTGCTACAAAGTAGCCACTGAGTATCTGAAAAGCTCCTTGTGTGGTATTGCTGTCTTATGAAATCTATTGGATTATTTAACTACTTCTCATAGTGCGGATTTTGTATTCATAGCACTATATTTAGCACTATATATACGTCTTGGCAGTAGGTTTGCAAAGAATGTTCCAAGTTGTTCATGAAATTATCTGGTTTATCAGCTGTTGGATATATAAAATAATTTTATTTAGTAACTATGTTGATATTTTTGTCAGTAATTCTTTGATTTTTGTCCTTTTACATTTGTGTTATCCTGATTGTATTTTGCATGGTACATGTAATCAATATATTCTTTTAACTACATATGTGTAGTTCCTGCAAGAGGTGCCTTTCTTTTATTTTTCTCTTCGATCTTTGTTGGAGTTTACCTTTCTCATAGGTTTGTCTTGTTAGAGTCTGATTATTTTGTCTTTTTTATATTCCATTTTTAGTGGTACTGCTACCGTTCTGCATTAGATAATGATGCTTTACTTAGATTTGGGAATCTTTATTTAAATTTTGAGGATTTATTATATATTCTTTTCAATATAAAGGTTTCTGTTCATTCTGTGATATGATCAGAACCTCTATTGATCGTATTCACTATGCAGTCAAATAAATCTACGCAAAAACAGAAACTAATTAAAAGCATGCAAAGAAAAAAAAGGAAAAATGTTTGTTTTCTATTTTGGTTTAATCAAATAAAATATATAATCAAATGAATCTAAATTAAAAAAATATCAAACATGAAGATTTACCTTAATAGATGCAGAACCTGTAAAAATCCAATCTTTAATCCTCTAAATTATGCATGAAAATTAAATAAATTTGAAAAAAAATATTAATTTCCATAAAAAGTAATTGTAGTGTAAAACAAATATCACCATTAAATTAATTACACAATATTTTTAAAGAATAATCATGAAAATATAAAAAAGAAACATACATCTTGAAGGAGATGAAGTTACTATGAAAATTGTGTAATTTCTTGGTTTATATATGGGCATGAGGTATTACATATGATAGGATAATAGTCATAATTAAATTTTTATTAGGATTTGATCATAATTAGAATATTTAATCAATTGGGGATTTGTTATCAAAAATCATGGATGTTGTGTATTGTAGGCGTCTAAAAATGCCTATAGGTTCCCGCACATAGCTCGAGACAAAGAGAAGACGATGAACGTTGCTATCCGAGTCACAGAAGCTCATTTGATGACGACAAGCGCATGAAGTGAGTTAACGAACCATGCAAAGCAATGGAACTTCGGAATAACGAAAACACGAATAGATCGGGAGCTATGCGTCACTTACGAAAGACGAAGTTCCCCTCATGCTCCATTTATTTCACATATGATTCAATCATAGAAGCTCGTATATCTCATCGTCGGCTCTCCGACGCATTTTGAATCACATGATTCCGAGTTCGAATGACGAAGATATGGTGAAAACGGACAAAACACGCAGAACAGTGCTCCAGGCCTCGGCGAGACAGTCATAGGTGTCTCGGCAAAAGTTTAGCCGAGACACCCATAGGTGTCTTGGCCAAAGCTTGGCCGAGACACCCATAGGTGTCTCGGACCTTGTAGAGCTATTTTGACTATGATTTGCTTTAAATCTGAAGAGGCTCAAAAGATAAAAGTTGTAGATATCCATGTTATCTTTCTAACTCATTTTGGATTAACTCATTCCGAGATTGTATGAGAGAGATAAAGCCAAAATATCAAACATAGTACAAACTGCCTTAGAATTCTGAGACAGTGTTAGTGTCTTAGAGAAGAATGGAGATTTTGGTCCTGATTCGATTCGAAAATGAAGAATCTAAAAAAAAATTGTAGATATCTTTATCAGCTTTTCAACGTATCTTGAATCATATTATTTGGAGGTCATATGAGGCAGTTAGAGTAAAAATACCTGAGACACCCACTGGTGTCTTGGCCAAGGCTTGGCCGAGACACCCATAGGTATCTCGAACATTGTAGAGGTATTTTAACTATGATTCGCTTAGAATCTGAAGAAGTTCAAAAGATAAAAGTTATAGAGCTCCTTATTAACTTTCTAACGCATCTTAGATCAACTCATTCCAAGATTGTATGATAGAGATAAAGCCAAAATACCCGAGATACCCACTGGTGTCTCAGCCAGGCCGAGACACCCACGAGTGTCTCGGCCAAGCCGAGACACCCACGGGGGGCCGCAGCCCCAAAAATCAATTTTTGGTAGTTTTAAGTTGTTTTTCGACGTTAACCATATGGATTTATTCCAATTGATTTGAATCTATCTAAGAACGTGACAAAATGGTTATAACTGAAGATAAGAGTGAATCGATCGTTCTTATCCGAAAACAGAGGTCCCAAAGCCTATAAATACAGCCCCAGGGCCTTCATTTTTTTAGGAGATCTAGAATTCTCAAGCATTGAAGACTGAAAGAGCACGAATTTCAGAAGGGAGAATGAGATCGGATCCAGTTCGTCGGTATAAAGAAGAGGAGCTTGTCCGATCTACACTTCCCGGTCCTTTGCATTGAGATTGTCCCATTGTCGTAATCTCAAGAAGAGTGATTATCTCGCTGTTGCTGAGATAATTGCTTCGATTTCGTAATTTCTTCGTGAATCAATGAAGCTCCGGATCTGATCTGGTCGTTCGGTGGTCCACGGATATCAACGTCCTCATCTGTGACGCCCCTGAGTTCACACAAGGCTGCAGTCAGAGGTGAAACCAGGAATGTCAAACCTGCCATGCACCACACCGTGCAATAATATGTTTTACCATCATAATTACTATCTCTCTAGTAGAGTCAACAACAGGTGTAGGTACAAAAGTAAGTAAAAGATAATACAAGAGATATATGATGAAATAATAGAGATAAAAATGATATTTCATCATCCAACATACAAAAATATAAAGTGAATCTCTAAAATAACTAGTCTGGAGATCTCAACAAGTCTCAAATATAGAATATCTGATAAAAGGAAGTAATGCACATAGCATTTACAACTTTTAGAACATAACTCTCAATTGTCTAAACAAAATGTCTACAGTGGAGCTCCAAAAATAACATAAAACTACAAATGAAAGATGGACGCTAATAAGTATCGCCATCAACCTACGACTCTCCATGCACCTGGCTCGTTACTTGAAATGGGAGGGGACAACAAGCGTCAAAGCGCTAGCGAGCAACATCACAACCAACACCAAGGAAGAGGGCTCATTGTATATAGAAAATACAGTTAATACATATATAGATAAAATCATTGATCCTAACAATAAGAGGATTTTAGTATTTAGGAAATTACAACATGAGCATAGGTACATCGAGCAAAATAATCCAAACAAGGAAACCCTCATGTATATACCTTGTATCTCAAATTGTAAATCCCTAAATACCAAACTCAAGATCTAATATAGGAACAATAATATAAAGAAGACTAACCCATCTTAGAACTTAAATACCATATCATGTCAAAACCCACATAAGTGTCATGTCCAGCCTATGTAAGTGTAAGTGTCATACTCAAGGTTTAAACATGTGTCAAACACATGGACTAAGACTAGGTGTAGTGGATGCCCAACACATAGACTGCATATATAAATTGTCCAACACATGGATTGAATGATGAATATCCAACACATGGACTGAATATAATGAATGTCCAACATATAGACTGAATATGATGAATGTCCAACACATGGACTGCACATAATAATTGCCCAACACATGGACTGAATGAAATGTGTAGAATATCGATGAGATATATGAAAAGGATGCATATAGAATGAAATGTGTAGAATATCGATGAGATATATGAAAAGGATGCATATACACTAATTTCACACGTGTTTCGGTGTGAAAATCTAAACTCATGTCCGCAAGCCATCTCACATATGAAGATACATAATAAATGATAATTTATAACGCTAAATATTCGAGGCGACTCCTCGTTCACATTAAAGCACACAACAAAAGTAAACATGCACAAACTGTGCTAGCGATCAACCGAAACAGGCAGAAACCCTTCACAGCTTTCTATCTGCTTCGAAACAAATCTAGAAGTGACATCATTATTTTCCAAGCATAATATTACTGATATCAACATATATGAAACAACATGAAACGAAATGTTAGCATGTAAATATATCGTCGAAACCCTAAATATTTATATACACATGTTTAAACGTTTTAAAAGCAAAAACTTGTGATTTACATCATGATTAATAAAATTCAGATCTGAAATTTGTCAAGGTTACTATTGTAATCAATTAGAAAATTATGATAATATATTCTCACTTCATAAGTTATAAAGATCTATTTTTTGTACACTAAAAATACGTTTTAGGCTTGAAAAATCCGAATAAAACTTAATAAAAACGTGTAAAATAAAAGGGTGCAGAGTTGGGCGAGATGTTACTCGCCTCAGATGCTGAAAAACTCCTGCCACGTGAAAGAGAACCAATCCCCTTCGCTGCACTGCACAAAAC